TTTTATTGCAGATTCAGGGTCCTCTCTGGGCGGTTTTTTGGCCCGCCCGATTTACCCGGGCGGCGTCCTCACTCTGCTTTTGGGTGCTTTTGTGGACAAGCAGGTGCTGAAAGGATGGATTGTCCTATCAATGGCGGCTTACAACTGTGTCGAAGCACCTAAAGAAGAATTTTGTATATATGAAACTAATGAAAGTTAATAATTAAACTATTTTTAGTTTTGAGTCGAACCCGACCAATGACCTTATCATTGTAAAATTTGAGCTCCTGGTTTTCCTCATTTATAAGGGCTTGATTTTGTGTCGAAACATCACATGCTTGCATATCTGGTAACTATCAATGGTGAACGGGTGCTCTTAATTATGGACGGTATCTGGACATCCGTGCGTCCTCAATACAGATGCTTGCGGAGGTGGTTACTGCCTATCTAAGGTGCTTAGGATATCGTGTTCAGAGTAGTTACATAACAATTTGTGCCAAGCACCTGGTTTTCTGGCTGGGACCATGACATGGTGTTAAGGAGTGGCATGCCAATCAGACGCCTTTCTCCTCCTCCGCTGCCCCCCTCCTCCTCCCTCCCTGGCTGCTGCAGGGTTGCAATGGAACTCACATTCACGACATCACTGGAGACACCCATGGCACGGTGTTCAGAAGTGGCTTATGGTGCCCGGTCGGGCATGACCCCCAGGCAGGGTTCCCGGCAGTCCCAGCGTTAAAAATAATAATAATAATGATAATGAAAAAATCCGGGTAAAAACATGTTGTGCAACGACTTGCTGATTTTGACTGCCGAGATCTGACTGCGAGGCTGTACAGTAACAGCGATAGGGTTAGATTCGTAATGTTGTTTGTGTCAAGGACTAACCGAGAGTTCAGTGCTGAGGGAAATCCGTGAGGGACATATCTGCAATTTTGGGAAAATTGCAGGCCCGCAGCTCCCTTAGACCGCACTGCGAATAGCAGGCCCGGGCTATCACTAGGACGTGAGGCCCTAGGACCTAGGCCCGTAGCATGAGAGCCTATAGCCGGGTAGGTAGAGGCCCTAGAGGCCCAAACTGAAATGGTACCGGTCGGTCCAGTCCGTGTCTAGGTTTAGGTTAGCATATTAATAGATGTAGGTCGCTAGGGCTAGGACTTTTGGCAGTTTTCATTTTTTGGTGACAACGTTCTGAGCCAAGCAAGTACAGTGGAGACTATTGCCTACAGGCGGCATCCTGAGACCTTCGTCGTGGACGGCAGCCATAGCCAGCCTTCTGGAGCTGGCCATAGCTGGGGCGTCCTCTGAGCATCCACCACTGGGGGTGCTTGCGAGCGGCTGGGCTATTCTAAGGCTCTACATGGTGTTTGTGGGTGGACCACTGTTGCTGCATCTTCCTCTGGGATCGTGCATGACATCGGCAGTGGCGCTGCAGCCATAGCTGCAGCTTTCTTCATCAGAGTTGCTCATCGGCGTTGAGGGTTACATCGTAGTTCCTGTTCTTCATCTGGGTGGCTAGCGCAGGCCTCTGGGAGGCTGGTGTTGTGTGGCGTTACTAACTGGGTGTAGTGTAGGGAGTGGAGTGTGTGATTCTGCGAGTGGCGGGACACTGAGACAAACTCTGTAACGATATTGGTTCAGATCGGCTCAATCTCAGATTGTTCCTTTGTTATCCTCGCAGGTGTCTACTTGTGATTGGTTGTTGGGAGTATTGTCAGAGAGTGAGAAAAACTTCGTGTTATTTCCACACCTGTGCATAGTGTTTTTCCCGCTGCTTACTCTGTCTGTGTGCAGTGTGTACTCTGTCTCGTCTCCCCTTCTTCTTATGCATGTATTGAGCGTGTGTGAGATTGTCTGCGTGTGAGTGTTGATGAAAATCGACAGACAACCAAGTTCGTAACAGTTGTGTAGAAGCGCAACACAAACGACTTTTGGCGGAGGGTCACATTAGAATTCCTCACAGAATCGGAGATAAAGAAAGAAATAACAGAATCACACTAAGGCACCCCCTTTTAAACCCCTTTAGCCCCTTTAAAACCAATTTATACCCCCCTCCCCCCCACTTGACAGCCAACGCGGAACAGAAGAAATGAGCCCAGATTTGGGGTCCTCTGGGAGAGCGCAGAAAACCCAAAAAAAAAAAGATAAAAGTTTTCTTTTTTTCTTTTTTTTCTTAGAAAACCTTTTTTTTCTTTTTTTTTCTTACACGCCCGGGTGCCCGGCTGGGCATGAGAATCTTCCTAGATTTGTTTTTCCTTTTTTCTTTTGCTGGGACCTTGCCTGGTCTTTGCATGGCCGGGCTGCCCGGGAAAACAGGGTGACCTGGGCGGCCCGTCTGGTAGCCAGCTTTAGACCCCTTTGAAGTTTGAATCCCTCTTGCACGCCTTCAGACGCCCTTGAAGCTCAAACATATTTTTAGGAAGCAGGCACAGTGGCACACTTTTCTTTTCCTTTCTTCAAAGGGTTACAGCTTTGAGGGATTGTCGAACTGACCAGCACCAGGTAATTCAGAATGATTTTATCATTCATCCAGTTGCATCTGGATTTGAACTTGTGTTTCTATTCAACAGTTCATTTGAAACGGTTTTCACCTGTCAGCAGTAGCGAGCGCAGATCCCAGGGCTCGATGACTAGTTCCCACCTTACCTGTGTACAGTATCTGTGTTGACCCCGAGTGTTTGAACCCGTGACCTGTGTTTTGATAGTCGTTGTTTGTCATAGGTCGGTGTAGGGGTAGGGGTTCGATCTGTAGACCTGTCGCATAGGAGTCCTACCTTCTTACCCCGAAAAAAACGTACGTATGTTCTATTCGAATTACCTTCGAAAATCGGACTTTCAGAAATCGCTCTTTTTTTCCCGAATAGAACGTACGGTCAAATACAACGTACGTACGCTGTATAAGGACTCTGTATCATTTGAGACATGTTTCACTATCTGAAAAAATATTCACAAAAATCCAAAAAAAAAAAAAAAAGTCCAAGAACAATGCAATACAAACATCTTTTCGAAAATCGGACTTTCAGAAATCGCTCTTTCAGAGTATTGTTGAAATTTGCTGTCAAATTTGAGGGGGGGGGGGAAACGTATTTCCCCCCCCCCCCCCCCCCCACCCCCCCACCGAAATCAGATGAGGCCGGGGTCCTCGTAGTCTACCTGGGGCGAGGTCCCATTAGCAGTCGGATAGGAGTGTGGCCGATCCAGTGTGACACTGAGTGCCAGAGGGCTGACAGGTTCATTACGAATTTCTGGCCTGAGAAAACAGGAGAAAGGCAAAAGAAAAAACTAAAGAAACAGAGACCTCCTACCGGAAATCACGGCAGAGTGCTTCCCAGCCATCAGATCACAAATGATCTGATGGTGGTGGTTGCAACAACAGTGAACAAAGTAACCACCACATTTTATGGAATAAACTCGACTTCTGTCAGCAGTGATTCTGACACCCTCCATATACTCCGTGATTGAAGGAGGGCTCCACCCAATGAGATAATTGCACAACAGCAAGTAAAATACTGAAAAACTTCTATCCAGTGGGCCTATGGCCGACCCCACCCTCTTTTGGAGTTGGCCACACCCCCAACCGATTGAAAAGATTCTGGCGGGAAGCTTTCTTTGCACGGGCATGCCCATTGCTAAGGAGAGGAGGAGGGGAACAAAGATCTCCTTACTTTTTCGGGTAATGAATGTAAAATACTGCCCGTGGGATCACGAGTACTGCACTGCAGGATTTGGGTCACTCGACTGCCCCACAAACTCGTTTCTATCCTATCCCATTGCTACCATAGTGGGACCTCGCCCCTGGGAGTGAACTTGCTGGGAGCATTACCCAGTTTCGCTTACGGGGACTGACTGAGCCCCTGAGTGGACCAACCCCCTCCTGAAAAATGGAACAGACATAACAACATGACTTGCCCTGAGCCTTCATGTCTCTTTTTTTTTTTTTTTTTTTTTTT